CCATGTATCTCTGCTCGCTTCTCTCTTTTATATCTCAAAAGAGATTGCATTAAGACACTAATCTTGTCAACCTCATCAGTATAACCTCATCACAGCGATAGAATTTACAACGCATGAGATCACATATTATCTCATCATAGTGGTAAGAGTTTACAACACATAAGGAAATCACATCAGATAGCACAATCATACAATACTGGGAATCATGACCTAGCCAAGTTACTACACACATTTTTTGGGGGACACAATTCAGTCCATGGCAGGTAATATAGTGAATTTTACCCAGTGTTGGATCTTTTATTATGGATGCATTAATATGATTTTAATCAGTGGTTCTCAACTTCTTTTCCACCAGTGGTCCTCTTCTTATTTTCCACCGTGGTCAGCCTGAGAGAGTCTGCGTATGCCCATCCATTAACAGTTACTGTCTCAAACCAAAACCAAACCTGTTGCCATCAAGTTGATTCTGACTCATGGCAACCCCATGTGTCACAGAGTAGAACTTTTCCATAGGGTTTTCTTGGCTGTAAGTATGGAAACAGATCACCAGACCTTTCTTTCGAGGCATCACTAGGTGGATTCGAACAGCTAACCTTTCTGTTAGTAGTCCAGCCCAAACCATTTGTGCCCCCCCCAGGACCTGTTACTCTCTAAGGAGGTGAGGAAATAGAAATTTGAGTGGTTAGAGTAGTAGAAAGTGTCTCCTGGGGGATTCGGAGGACCTCCTATTACTGATGGCAGATGCTTAACCACATTTAAACGGTTCTTTGTTTAAACCAGTTTTTCCATTTTTGGCATCTCTCCATCCAGGGCACCAGAACTAGCACCTCTGAAAAGTAAAATGATCTATGCAAGCTCCAAGGATGCCATCAAAAAGAAATTTCAAGGTATGGTGTGGACTTACCTCCAGACATTGAGAGGAGTGGGAGGCTCTTGGAATGGGGGCTGCCACTCGTTTAAGAAGCATGCTGTCTTCTTTGGGGAGGTTCGGGTACAAAGAAGGGAAGTGCTGCTTGTTTTGGGTTTCCAGCCAGCCTCCCTCCCCAGTCACTGCAGAACTAAGGGCTCATAGATGCCCTCAGAGGGCACAGAAGAAGGGGGAGGCAAGGTGAGAACTAGTGAGCAAACGGGGGAGACCTCGGGAAAGAAAGGGCAGGGGCCCTGGGGGGTGCTAAGTTGGTACTTTTGGGTTCTTCCAGCTGATGGCTGGCCACCGGGCCCCGGCTACAGCCCTACTCCCTCCAGACCACCTGGTGGGGGCTGGCGTCTACCTGTGGGGAGGAGGGGGAAGTGAAGGCAGGCAGGTATGGGCCCCCCCCCCATGGGGCTGAACTAGGGGGTCAGGAAATGTCACTTTGGGGCACATTTTCTGCAGCTCCAGCTCTCAGGGCCTGCCTGCCCTTCCCACCTGCCCCACAGGGTCTGAGCAGTGCTGAAGCCCAGCTGTGTGGCCTCTCCTGGGCAGCAGGGGGCGCCTGGGCTGCAGGCGGGGCTTCACCGCAGCTGGGCTGGGGAAGGAGAGCCACTTTGCTGGTTCTCTGTGTTTTTCAGATGGAATCATCCAGAGTGTATGCTTTTATGTCTAGCTTCTTTCAGTGTGTTTATGAGGGTCACCCATTTTAATGCATGTAGTTACAGACTGTTTGTCCTCACTACTGTGTAGTATTCTGTTACTTGTATATGCCACAGTTCATCAAGCCATACTAGAACTGGTTTTTCAAAATGGTTTGATATCTTAGAGAAACAGTAAGCTACTTCCGTAATTCTGAATAAAATTATTTTTCTTCTCTAGGCATAAAACACGAATGTCAAGCAAATGGGCCAGAAGACCTCAATCGGGCTTGTATTGCTGAGAAGCTAGGTGGATCCTTAATTGTAGCTTTTGAAGGATGCCCCGTGTAGACCATCATTCAGTGCCACAAACCGAAAGCTTCCGTGTTCAATGTTATTCTCTTTCTGTATAAGTAAAGCAAATATATTTAGGCCAGGGTCTCACTGAGGGGGAGCTGTCTTAAATCATCTTGTAAACGAAATATTCTATAAACGTGTAAATGGCCCTAAATACATCTAAAGCTAAAGTTTTATTTGTGTAAAATTAAATTCTTACTGGCCAAATGCCTGTTTTGATGAGTTGTTGGCTTGTAAAGATTATTATTAAACTCGGGATTTATAATGATGCAGTTCACAAAACAGTACAAGGCTGTATGAAGAGACTTATTACACCCTTGTGAACCTCGGCAGTTACTTTGTCTCTTTTGCTTAGAGAATTGGTCATAGTTTAGTTATAATTTGGGCCCAAATTCATTATTCTTCATTGAGCTAAGCTGAATAATGGAAAATAACTCTCCTCACAGCATATAACAACACTAATACACTAACTACAGTAAGTTTAAGTCAGGCAGACTTTAACTCTACCAGATGTGTGATGGAGACTGCCTCAGAACTGTGTACACTATAACCAATGCTGATCTTGTAAAGCACTATTTCCAGCACTTAGTGGGAATCCAGGAAGCAGCTCCCTTGCACCATGGTGAGCTCTCTTCTCACTAGTTGGGAGGCTGTTCTGGTGGGCTGACCTTGCATCCTGGAAATCATGGTGTGTCCCCAGGAGAATGTGCAATATCTTGTAACAACTAATTCATAATGCGAATTAGGGCTCCATTGTAATAAACTTTGTTAATGAAAATGATCAAACTATATATTGACAAGCTAGAACACCTATGGGATCTTTGTGTCTCCTTCGGATCTTTGCTGCTTCTGGTACAGTAAGGGGTGGAAGAACATAAGTAAATGTGTACTTGGGGGCCTGGGGAACGTCTTCATTTCCTAGAGTAGTTGACTGCGTGTGAAGTGGGAGCACGTGTGATGGATGACACTCCCGGGAAGCAGCTCCTCATTGATCGGATGTGACTGTCTCAACATCACGGAGATGCACAAACAGTTGAACTTAGAAGTAGCAATATTGGCTTTGTGTAATAAAGGAAGCATTTTTAACTTATCTCTTGTGTAATTAATTCATGTGTGAATTTGGGATAAAGGATTTTGCCTTCCATATGGGGAGTAAGTCATCAAGGTTTGGGGTGTTCCTGAGTGAAGGTCACAGTTCCTCCTCCTCTGATTGAGTGACAAAGTTGGCAATCTCTTTCTTATCCCAAGTGTGTATCCAAACGCCAAGCTTTCACATCTCTTGATTTACTATTTGGGAGGCAACAAAGGTTAACATGCTTTAATCAAAACACCTCTTAGAAAATGGTCTAGAAAATAGTGTTGGCTGCTGGTTTACCAGTAACCTGCTTATCATTCTTTCATCCTGTTTGTCTTGACAGCAAAGCAGCGCCTGTAGTGCTAATGTCTATGAATCAGCCTCCAGTGACGAATCCGTGGGCGCGGGGCCACCCTGCTCAGCAATCCATGTGCAGCCAGCCAGGCACTCGGTTAAGGAGTTTCAGAATCAGGGTCTGTGGTTTCAGCCTGTAGGGCACTTCTGCAGCCACCCCTCATGGCTGTAGTGCTGGCACGCAGGCGTGCGCACATGTGCAGTGTGTGCTTCTGGTGAGGATTTCAGGACAGGTACAGGGATGAGTGGAAAAGCGTCCGGCACCCGGCTCTTTTTCCACAGATTGGGAAGATGCTGATAGTTGCTTGTATCTCCATCTGGAGAAGCTTTTGAGAAAAAGTTACTGGATTCCTGAAGTTGGGGCCCAAATCTTTTTAAACAAGCATGTAATTCTGGTGTAAAATCAGGGCTTAGACCTTGGTTAACATTGCTCAGGAATAAACTGCAGGCATACTGTTTCCAGAAAACACGTACATTTTCACAAGTGTTAACACTCGAGGTTCATCTATTGATTACTCTTGCCCTGAGAAAGAAGCAAGTAAAGCCACTCTGGTGGCACAATGGTTAGGTGCTCGGCTGCTAATCAAAAGGTTGGCAGTTTGAACCACCCAAAATCGACTCAATGGCACCTAACAGCAACAACAAAGCCGAAATTCAGTTGGAACTCGACTGTGCATGCTGTTATTCCAGAAAATACTCATCTCTCAGAAAACAGCAGAGAGACTGGAGTAATAGGCTTAGTCCAGTGGTTTCCTCTCTGCGGACGGCAGCCTGGAATGCTGGCTGGCCCAGGTGCAGGAAGTGCAGCTCTGGGCCATCAGAGACTGGGTATGCTGAAGGACACACCACTTTCTCGAGATTTGGGGCATTTCTAAAGTATGCATACAGGTTCCAAATGGGTTCCAGCTGGGCTGCAGATGGAAGAAGGGTCATGAATTGCACTGTGGCAGTTCTGGTATCTCTGGTTTCAGTGGAAGGAAGCCCAAGGCATACAGCTGTGTGGCTGATGGAGTCAGAGAAGGGCAGCTGGGAAGAGCCTGACAGCCCTTGCTGCCCATCAGCGTCCAGCCCAGAGAGGTCAGTCATTGCCCACATCACACAAGTAGGACAAAAACTCCGGTCTCCTGGTTTCTTGTCCTGAACTATTTCCACTGGACTTTTGGAGAGTTCATTTCTAGTATCTGGAATTCTAAGGTTGGATCTTGTTGTATGCCAGGGGTGAAACTTGAACTGGAGCAGGAAGGAGAAAAGTACAGTTCTTTTTGGGCTCTGAACTCCCCTTAGACAAGCACCTGAAAGCAGCTTGGGAAGAAGGCGTTTGTGGAGAGTGTCTAAAACCTTGTTTCCCATCCCTGAGCCCTTGCTGTTTCTCTGGTCCTGCCTGTGCCAGGAGCTCTCCCCGCTCTAGGACTGGTGGAGTCTAAGGTGCCACAGTGCCACACCCAGCCCAGGCCCAGCCTAGAAAGAGCAGTGCTTCCTGCAAGAACAGGCCAGGTCTTCTAAAGTGACAAGTGCCCTAGTCCAGCCCTAGGGGATTCCTTTCTCCACACTGAGCCGCTTTATTCCAAGTGACTGCAAATGCCAGTTCTTCAACGTGCAGGACCTCTTCCAGGACAGGGAGCTATGAATGGTCAGCCCTGAGCAGGCTCCCGTGGTGTCTTCATTTTGAGGAACACCAAGGGGGCCTGTCAGCCTCTTCTGCAGAAATCTGCTAATGGCTGCTGCCTGGGATTCTATCCCGAGCAAAGTGGCTCTCCTTCCCCAGCCCAGCTGCGGTGAAGCCCCGCCTGCAGCCCAGGCGCCCCCTGCTGCCCAGGAGAGGCCACACAGCTGGGCTTCAGCACTGCTCAGACCCTGTGGGGCAGGTGGGAAGGGCAGGCAGGCCCTGAGAGCTGGAGCTGCAGAAAATGTGCCCCAAAGTGACATTTCCTGACCCCCTAGTTCAGCCCCATGGGGGGGGGG